TTCAGATTCCTTAAAATCCAGCTTGATAGATGATAAATTGTGGGCAACTGGCTTTAAAAAGACTGTAGGTTTGGGTTCCCTGTAGTCCCTAGAACAGTGAAGTCTCTTCTGAATGATACTCTGACAAATTCTTGTAGGAGGTTTTTTGTTGTTGTTTTGATTTTTTTTTTATTTTATATAGTCAAGGTTCCTAGAGATGCTATAAAGAAATACAGGCACGCTCCTGCAGATTGGTCTGAAATTCAGAAGTATTATAATACTAATTGCTAGGGCCGGCCGAGTGGCTCAGTTGGTTAAGAGCTCGCTCAAGAGTTTGAGCTCTGAGCAACAGCAGTTCGAGTCCAGCCTGAGCTGAGCAGCCGCTGAGCTGCCAACAGGTAGCAGGATGGCTCAGCTTAAAAAAAAATTAAATAAATAAATAAATAAATAAAAATAAAAAATACTAATTGCTGTTCATTTGCTTGCTGTTTTTCTCTTCATTAGAGAATTACGTCCAAGCTGTGGAGGAGTTCCAGGCTTGCCTAAACCTGCAAGAACAATATCTGGAAGCCCATGACCGTCTCCTTGCAGAGACCCACTACCAGCTGGGCTTGGCCTATGGGTATAACTCTCAATATGATGAGGCAGTGGCACAGTTCAGCAAATCTATTGAAGTCATTGAGAAGAGAATGGGTGAGTTAGCTAGCACCAGCTGTTTTCACGATCTTGATGGATCCAGTAATTGACAAGGTGAAAAAGTGAATCCATTTGTGGTAACTTACTGATCACTTCAGCCTGTTCTTTGTAGCTGTACTAAATGAGCAGATGAAGGAGGCTGAAGCATCACCTACTGAATATGAAAAAGAAATTGAGGAGCTGAAGGAACTGCTACCTGAAATTAGAGAGAAGATAGAAGATGCAAAGGAGTCCCAGCGTAGTGGGAATGTAGCTGAATTGGCTCTGAAGGCAACTCTGGTTGGTTTGGTTTCCTTTTAAAGTTTGATAGTAGGGTGTTCGATATCTTTGAAGGCATCATGGTATTGGTGTTCTGTTTGCTAGGAATCTTAGTTACAAATTGGTTTACAGGGAGTTGGAGGTCAGAAGGAATATTAGAACTCATCTAGTTATTCCTGTCAGATAGTATGTATAATGCTGAAGAGAAGACACTCGAGCCAGACTGAGTTTGACTTCTCTCTTTGCCATTTACTGTGTGTAACCATGGGCGTATTTGCTTAACATTTCTTTGCCTTAGTTGGCTCATTTGTAAAATGGGGATGATAGTACTTGCATGTTAAAATACTTCTGATGGTATAAGACAAATACTATTTGCATAACAATTGTAAACTATTGCTTCCATCTCTGAGAATTCCTCTGTATAGATTAGTGAGGTATTGATTGCCTGGCTCTGCTTTTGGGTGCTAGGATGTAAATTCCTCTGTATAGATTAGTGAGGTATTGATTGCCTGGCTCTGCTTTTGGGTGCTAGGATGTAAACTCCCTTTCTACCCTGCAGCTGGTGATAGGATGTGGAGGGTTTGGTTTAATACCTATACTCTGCCTATACCCTGGGGGGGTGGGGGGGTGGGGGGGTGAGGGGTGGACAGTGTTGCTGTTCTATGGAGGGCCACTAGTATTTGAGGTCTTAATAAGTTGCTTGGATGGTGGGTACCTGTTGTAGGACTGGGTCACTTGAATTCTACCCTGGGGCCCACTGGGGTTTGTCATTTTTCACAGGTAGGGAGCTCTTCTTCAGGTTTCACTCCTAGTGGAGCAGGCTCTTCAGTTTCCATGGTGAGTATTCAGGTGATTTTTTTTTTTTTGGTCACTTAATATTAGGTCTCACTGTTTGTCTCATATATAGCTGTACAATGCTAATGAAAGCTTCCTTTTTGCCAGATTGCCAGTAGAAGGCAAACAGATGGTGCTTCCTCATCAAATTGTGTGACTGATATTTCCCACCTTGTCAGAAAGAAGGTAAATCCACATGCAGTCATTTCTCTTTTTTTCCTTTCTTTTTTGCTCCAAGTGATGCATGAGAAGTATCTTTCCTAATAACCTGGTGCAAAGGTATTTGCAAAGGTGGTGAGGATTTGCAAGTGAAGGTAGTTTTCACTTGAATATCTCTTTATAGCATAATTCTCCTGGCTCAGGGACTGTCAGGAGAGCTGCTGGGGAGGACTGGTCAGATCAGCCCCTTTTAGGGAGCTGGCAGGTTTTCTTTGACAGTCATTCATCCATGCATTCATTTGTTCATTCATTCATTCAGCAGACCTGCTAGTAACTTGAACTCCTGCAAGTCTGCCTTCTGCCTATGTTTGCAATAGTTTTTTTCTCTGTTTACTGATTCAAATGTAGGGTTTCAAACTTGTGGTTTGGTTACTATTCAGATCTACCCATCATGCCACCCTTCCATTAGTGAGGCTGAATTGGTATGTTGGGGCAGACCAATTTATTCTGCAGAGTACAGGTTGGCATCTCCTCCTGTTGCTAGGGAGAGAGCTTTAGAGCTGTGATGTGAATTCTGTTCAGGATCTTTGCACCATGGGGGAGAGGGGTTGTTAAGGAAGTGTTTTTGCAGTTGTCCTTTTAAAAAACATTAAGCATATTTGTGAAGACTTCACAATTATATCTTTAGAGAAAACCAGAGGAAGAGAGCCCCCGAAAAGATGATGCAAAGAAAGCCAAACAAGAGCTGGAGGTGAATGGAGGCAGTGGGGATGCAGTCTCCTGTGGCACTGAAGTTTCGGAAAGCATGGAGGAGGAGGTGGGCAGTTAAAGCAGGGCTTGGACTCTTGCCTCATTTCCCCTTGTTCTCAGGGCTTGGGGAAGCCAGTTCTCCCAAGTGCATGTTCCTCACCTTGGGCCTGTTTGGATTGCTTGAGTGCAACCCTCATTAAAACAAGGAGGTTGTGCAGGAAACAGTTTGGTTATGGAATGCAGGATGTGTCTCTGACAAATGTAACCTATATACACACCACAGGTCCCCCTCTAATGAATGTATGAGAAGACAATTAATTGGCAAGACCATTCAGTCACTTCTGCTTGCTCCTTTCCATGTAATATATAAACATGGGCTCTGTCAGCCCTATTACAGAGAATATAAGAAATGGCTTTCTACTAGGGTCATTGCCCTGTTAGTGTAGGATGCAAAGTGGAATTTAGGGGACCTGTGTGTTTACTTCCTCTGACTGAAGCCTACTCAGTTGTGTAAGATAGAATGGCTTAAAGCGGGTTCACTTATGCCCAGGCTCCCTGTTTATCTTCCAGGCTGAGAATCAGGCTGAAAGCCGGGCAGCAGTGGAGGGGACAGTGGAGGCTGGAGCTACAGTTGAAAGCACTGCATGTTAAGAGGGAGCAGAGCCTTCCTCCCAAGGGAAAGTGTTTTGTATATAATGTATTTTTTCACTTTTGGGGGATTCTTTTTGTATAACTTCAATAAAGATTGTAAGCAAAGGTTTAGGCTTTGATGATTTCTTTTCTTAAATATTGGCTGAATCTGTGCCTTGGAGCACACCGTGTTTTATATAGTGGCCAAAGGTACTTCCCCCCACTTCTGTACTGATTTCTGTGGAAAATTCTGATCCAAATTCCTGTCTGTTTAATGTAGAGATGATCAAGTGTCCCTGCTGGCCCTTCATCTTCCAATGGTGCTATATTTTTTGTTTTAAATACTTGACTGAACCCAGCTGTCTTGCAAGCTTTCAGTGGTGCTGTCCCTGGATGGGGGCTACAAAAACAAGACTTGGTGAAGATCTTGCTCTTTGGTGCTGATACTGTGTGATGGATTCTGAGCTGATAACAGCCTCTAAGCCAGGCCTTGGGTGGCACCTCTGTCTTGTCCACCCAGTCTCCAACTGGGCCCGTAATCCTGTCCTGGAAAAAGAACTGAAGAAAACAGGAGGCGTGGGAGTGATCCTTGAAGTAAACTGGTGTGCTGATTGTAGAGAACTGAGATTCCTGGTTTGAAAGTGGCTGAGGGACACTGGTTGGAAGAATTTGGGGAGACTGTTTGGTTATTTTCTGTACAGAAAGTTTGAATTATCTCAACACTTGGAATTGTTAACCTGTCTGCAGTTTTAACTTCTCAAATAAAGATGCTATAAAGAGCTCCTGGTCTAGACTTGTGTTTAAAGATCTCAGCATGGGATCCTGGGCTGCCTAGAGCATTTCAGTGTGGGACATGTGGTTGAAAGATGGAATCTGGCCCAGCAGTTCTGGCTGCCCAGTCTAAGGGTGCTGGTGCTCAGGGATTGGTACTAAAGCCATGCTATGGGCCCCCACTGATGTCCAAGGTTCAGGGCTAGTGTGAGACTGACTGAGCTGCCTCTGACCTGATCCTTAGTTGAATAACCTATATGAACCAGGTTATGAATTCCAAACAGTGCCTGCCCTATATTACCCAAGGGAATTTAATAATTCTGACACCCACAGGGCTCCTTTACCACTTGGACAGACTGTAGGTTAGAATCTGCTATTTGAACATCCAATGTCAGGCAGAGGGAGCTCTGCTTAACCCCAAATCAACCCCATTTTTCAGAGTTTATATTTTCTCTAAATAAAAAAAGAAAATGAGTTTTTCTGGGCTGGTTACAGTAACAGCTGTAGACTCTTTGGCTCTGAATGTTATTCCTGAAGATGCTGTTGTAAGTTCTGAGGGGGAGGAGGGTGTCAGGCCAGTAAGTCATGACATACTTTACTCTCAGGCCTTTGACCTTTGGTTGACATTGGGGCCTGGGGCAAGATTTCACATGTGATCCCCACTCTGGAGAAACATTTTTGGCTGGGGCCCTGCCCTTGAATCTAGATAATGAGGCTACGGGAGCTTTCTGTTTATGGGGACCTTGGCCTGGAAGGCATCCTGAAGGATGTCCTGAGAAAGCTTGGATTTGAATTAAGTGTGGCAGTAAAACTGGCTTTAGCAAAAAAACAGGTGAGAATGAGTTTATCAAGTATTTTAGCTGGAATTAAATAGTACACAGTATTATTCGAAGAACCTCGTATATACTAGGTGATACTGCAAATACCTGACATACTCATTTAATCCTCACATCAATCTGTTTTACAAAAGGAAAACGGTCAAGAAAGGCCAAGTGTGATAAAGCTATGTAGTTGGAGCTTATATTTTGTGCTCATCTATTTGCTTCTAGGCTCTTTTAGAACAGTAAAGCTACAGGTCTGGGACTAGGCCTCAATCTAGGCCCTAGTCCTGTATATGTTGTTATTCATACCCACATTCTCCTGGATTTAGAAAGCCAGTGGGGGCGGGTCAGAGCAGTTTAACGGGCCCAAACCCTTATCTCTACCCTTGACCCTGCTGCCAAGGGGCTCTTCTGCAGGAGGAGGGGGATCAACAAGGCCAGCTGTTGCATCAAGGGAGCTTCTGGCTTCCAGTGAAGATGGGCTGGGCACCTGTGGAACAGGGAGAAGGCAGATGTTTATCAAAAGATTTACATAAAGGTTAACACAGGTTCTGGAGTTGGACTACCTGAAAATGTCAACTAACAACCAAGTTAACTCCATTGTGCTCTGATTTCCATATCTACATAATACCTAATAGGTTGTGTGAGGGTCATATGAGAATCCACTGAAAGCATTTGGTAGTGATTCGGCACATAGTGGTAAACAAAGGCTGGCTGTTAACCACAGCAACCACACCTGTGCTGTCCTTATTTATAGTTGAACCCTCACCGGAGGTGGATACTGGTACTCAAGGGCACTTGCTGGATTGATTTCTGCCAATGTCTGGACATCTGCATCTCTTGCATTCACCATCCGTAAAAAGAGCTCAGCCTGACCTACCTGGGGAGAAGTGAAATGGTACTGCATCTGTACCTTTGAGTAGACACCCAGTTCCCATCCTCCACTCACCTGGGGAATCCCATTCAGCTGCCCAGGGCTAAGGCTGGGGTCCAGAGGAAGGGCCCGAAGTGGAAGACGCCAACGGCCACTTAGCACCCTTTGATTCCGGTCAAAAAGCACCAGTGAGGCCCAGGCCTTTGGCTGTGGTACCCTAACCCCTTCCAGCCCCTGCCAAGCGTGTAGCTCACAGACCAAGGATACTGGTGGCGAGGGTGGTAGTCTAAAACAAAAGGAGTGTCAGAAGCCAGAACTGGCTGTATTCCCTTCCCAGAACTTGACCTCAAAGCCAGTGGCCCTGTATACAAATGAGAAAACTTAGAATGAAGGACAAGCCTCAACACCTACTGACCTGGGTACAGGTTGCCTGCTGGCAAGGATGGCACAGTTGCCCATGGGCCCAGGAGCTGGAGGCGGGGGCAAGCAAAGAGCTGGGGGCAATGCTGTGGTCCCACCTGTACCCTGTCCATCTCGAACCAAGCCAGCCATTAGTTGCACCCAAATCCAAGACGCCTCAAGGCCCCGCAGGAAGTCATAGAAAATGACCAGGCCAGCCCTGGGGGGACACAGGTTTCAGTGCACCTACATATACCTCTCACCCCCAGCCCCTTAACCCCCAGTCAGTTCCCCAACCCTAGCTGGACCTCGTGGGTCTCCCTAACCAGCAGTGGTGACGAAGTCAGAAAGGATGTCAAAGGAGGGTACAGGCCTCACCCAGGGTCGTAGGGTGCAGGACCCAGAACGTCAATTGTGGGCAGGAGGAAGTGTGGATCCAGGCCCAGGTTTCTAGTCATGGCTCCAGGAAGCTGTGGATGTAGGGGAGAGTTGAATCCTCCAGGAGGCCTTCTAGGTGCCTATGCTCCCTCAACTGCACAGAATAGAGCTGCCCCTCACCCACCTCCTGGGTTCTCACAGCCTTTTCTGTGCCACCCAAGAATAGGACGCCTGTGGAGTGTGGAATCGGTGGCAGCCGGGGTGCCACTGGCGGTGGGAGGCGTGGGGAATCTTCCCTCCTCAGGCGAGGGCTGGGATTGGCCACAAGTCGCGGGTGACCGGGCCCTAGGTGCAGAGAAAGAGTAGGGTGCCCCCGAGAAGGACTCAGCAAGTAACAGGACTGAGATACCCCTGCCCCCATAGCCGCACACACACGGACACCTGAAGTTGCAAGTGGACAAGGACCTACGGGGCACACTCTGTCTCATTCCCCATGCATGGTCCCTCTAACCCCTGCCTCTAAGCCAGGCCTGCTGGGGATGGAGGGTGGGGCTGGGCGGGGTGGGACTGGGGTGTTCACTGACCCCAGGGTGCCTGGCCTGCACCACTCTGCATCTGCAAAGCCAGGATTTCTGCCTCCAGGCGCCGGTTTTCGGCTTCCACTACTAGAAGCTCCCTCAACGTGGAACCTGTGGGTCTTCCTGAGATGAACAAGTCTGACCTGTCACTTTTGACTCTGGTGACCAGCTGGTTGGCTCTGAGCAGCTCTCCAGCCTTAGGGACTCTCTAGACAAGGCTGGACTTGTCAGCCACTGCTGGAAAGACTATCCAAGTTTTCTACCATGGGGTTTTTGCTTAGGTGGTTCTCATGCCAAACATGTCCTCCCTCACCGCCCCTTTCTCCTCCCAGAACTAAGGCCACCGCTTCCGAGAAGCCCTCGTGGCTGGCCCCTCCTGTTCACCCCTGCGGGTCCGTGACCTCCGAAGTTCCAGAGCTGATGCCTCCACTTGTAACTGCCATATCTGGTCTAGAACGCCGGGGTCCCGGCCCCCACCTCGAATGTAGGCCTCACGCAGGGCCCTAGGAAGTAGTGAACAAGAAAACAGCAGCGTCTTTCCAGGACTGATCAGCGCATCGCCCATGCCTGTCCCCGGACCCCGGACCTCACCCGATCTCGGCAGCCAGAGTCCCCGGGTTGACCTGTAGCACCGGGCCACAGAGTTCTGCCTCTCGCAAGGAGTTCAGCCGGGCTCTGGAGGGGAGGGCGACCGGCGAAGACGCTGTCACAGACCCCAGCCACCTGCCGACTCCCCTTCCGCAACTCACAAGCGGCCTTCGGGTTGTTTAGGGACCTAGCCTTCAGCGTCAAGCCGGTCTCGGGCTTCCACCCCACGGGCCCCGCCTAGCCACGCCAGGCCCCGCCCCACCAGACGCCCCCGGTCCCGCTCTCTGGTCCACGCCGGGGCGCTCTGGGATTTTGCGCTCAGGTTCTTACCTTGGCTCTGGCTGTAGCTGCTGAACGCGCGTTTCTAACACCTCTAGAATTCCCCTTGTTCGCCCGGCCTCCGCCCGGAGTTCTCGAAGCTCCCGCTCCAAGCCTAATGGTTGTGATATACCGCCCTGGGTCCTGGCCAAACCTTGGAGGCGCTGGTTCAGTTCTGAGTAAGGGATCGAGAATGGACCCAAGCAACTTCAAGCCACGGGGCGAGGGGTGGGGTGGGTCCCTAATACCTCCCACCTTTACCCTCACCCTCGCCGCGTAGCTCCAGGGCCCGGCTCTGTGCCTCGGTCTCTGCCACGCGCTTTGCATGAGTCCGGTGCAGCGTCCGCAGTCGCTCGCCAGGGCTCCCAGCAACCTCAGAGGTGAGGCCCCGAGTCGGCGCCTCTGACCCCCTGGGAACCTCTGTTATCCGGGGTTGCATTTCCAGCAGGTACAGCCGCAGCCGCTGCACCTGGATATAATAGCAACCCGCGATTTGCATGTAGGGATAATCTAGCCCATGGATGAGGTATAGGTTTGGGGAGCATGCTGTTTCAAACCCGTGGGTAAAGGCGGGTGTACCTCCTCTGTTAGCCTCCTTAGAGCCGACTTGCTGGCTTCCTGGTCTGGGAGGTGCTGATGTTCTTGTGGCACAACCTAGGGACAGGGTGAGGTGAGGAATCCTGAGGGGCAGGGTCGCTTAAAAGCCCACCCATGACCATGGAGGAGTTCCTTACCATGGGGCCTTGGGGTTCAGTGGCTCTTGAGGGCTGTGCTCCAAGTGTCACCTCCTGGGTCACACGGCCAATGCAGAAGCGCTGAGTGTGGGTGGCCAACAGGGCCCAGGACCGGAAAACCATGTCACAGGATCCACAGGGAAGGAGTCCTGGCTCCCCAGAGCGGGAGGCCATGGGATGGAATTCCTTCCCTGACACCAGCCAAGATTTGCAGACAGGACAGAGAGCAGGAAAGGAGAATGAAACAAAGCCAGAGGCAGAGAGGCAAGTCCAGGTTTATTGGGTCTACAATATCATTTGTTTGGGGGAGGAGCCTTAGCTCCCTGGGTAGCAACAACAGGCCTGGGCAGGTATGGAGAATGGGTGGGGAAGGGCTGGTCACCTTTGGGAGGAAACCCTGGCTTGATAAAAATGTCACAGTCTTCACCTCATTATATGGTCACAGGCACGTCTCTAACACTACACGTTTTTCTGCCTATATTCATAAAGGGGAACAAACAGATGCCTTCTAGACTAGCTGGGCCTGTATCACTTATCATTGGGCATTTTAGCCTCTGGCAATAAAGTGTCATCCTGTTCATTCTTGTTTTGCCCAAATGGATGTCATTCTCCATTCCAGGAACACCTGGGATAGGAGCAGAGTGCCTTTATGAACATTCTGCCAGGAAACCATCTTTTTTCTTCTCTTGTAAAAAGCTTGTTTCCATTTGGTCCAGGGCATGAAAGAGGGCTCCAGGGTGGTTAGAAGGCTGCCTAGTGGTTGCAGGAGAGGCTCAGGCCTGGGGAATGCAGAGGGGCCCCTTAAAGGCCTCTGGGCTCCAGAGGCTCCTAGTTGTGCTTGAGGGTGAGCCTTTTGAAGAGATACTTGCTTAGCCCAGCCTGGGGGCCAGGTGGCCTGCAGGTGGTCACTCATCTTCTTGATAAATTTCACCCCTTCATCTAGGAAGTGGTTCTTCGGGAATTTAGAGATGGGGTCTGTGTAGGCAAAACTTAGGGCATGCAGAGCTAAAAGGGCCTGGCTCAGGCTCTTCTACATGACATCCTGAGTTTTACCCCACTCATCTTGGAAAGGCTTCTGCGTGTCCTGGAAGAGGGTGCGGCCACCCCCACTTATTTTGAATCTTTAAGACATGCTCAGGGCCGGCAGAATGGTGCGTTGGTTAAGAACTGGCTTGGGACGCTGGCTCTGAGCAGCAGGGCCCTGGTTCAGATCCCACATGTAGGCCAGTGATGCTGTGCCCTCTACAGCTAAGATGGTGAACAACAGCTCGACCTGGAGCTGGGCTGCCGGGAGTCGCTGGCGATGGCGTAGGCTGCAGTGGGCTGCCATAAGCTACCGTGTGTGGCCGGCAGCCAGTGTGAGCGGGCAGCAGCCGATGTGAGTTGCCAAAAGCTGCCATGAGCGGCCGTCCAGAGGCCGGCGACCGATCTGCCTCACCTGGGAAGAGCGCAATGATGATACCAACATGGGCCAGTGAAGTGGTGTCCTCCACAACTAGACTGAAGAACAAAAAGACAGCAACTTCTCTGTTCCCACCCTCCAATTCCCCAATAAAAAAAAAATCTTAAAACAAAAAAAAATTTTAACACTGAAATCTGAAGTGTCAATTTAACTGGCAAGTTTTCTCTTATAGTACATAAAATGTCTTAAATACACACACACACACACACACATTCAATGAAATATGAGTTCTAGTTCTTACTGCTCTATCTCAGCCATTTCCACATGGCTGGTGGACTGCCTGTACCACCAGCAGGAGAGACTATATAATACAGTATGGCAGGCGGGGTCGCTGCCTTGCTAACCTTTAGAAATCTAGCAAATGTCATTCTGGTCTCTCTGTACCCCTTCTGAAGCCCACATTTCAAGTTATTAATAGTTGCCTTTCTAATATGAAGCTAGGCCACTCCTACTTGTCCCCCATTGGAGTAGGCTCCTGGACCTCTATAGCCACCTAGGGACCATGTACTGTAGGGACAGCCAGAGTGCCAGTGTCAGTAAGTATCTGTTGTTTAACTTCTGCTTGTTCATCAGATCTTGGCCCAAGTTTTTGTTATTTTTTATTTTTTTAAAGGTTTTTTTATTGGGGAATTGGGGCAGGGGAACAGTGTTGGGAAATTGGAACGGCCAAGTTGTTCTTCAATCTTAGTTGTGGAGGGCGCAGCTGGCTCCAGTCGCCATACGGCCACCTGTGGGCAGCTCGCGGCTGTTCAGCTCAGGTACCAAGTTCAATCTTAGTTGTGGGTAGGCGTAGTCCACCATCCCATGTGGGAGTCGAACTGGAAACCTTGTTGCTAAGAGCGCACACTCTAACCACTGAACCATCCAGCCACCTGTAGGCAGCTCAGCTCAAGGTGTCATGTTCAATCTTAGTTGCAGGTGGGCATAGCCCACCATCCCTTCCAAGAGTTGAACCAGAAACCTTGTTAGGAGCATGTGCTCTCACCAGCTGAGCCATCCTGCCACCTGTTGGCAGCTCAGCTCAGGCACAGCATCACTGGCCCATGTGGGAATCGAACCGGCGACCCTGTTGCTCAGAGCTTGTGCTCTTAACCAACTAAGCCACTTGGCCGGCCCCCTATGGTTTCATTTGTAACGTAGCTGTTTATTCTCTTCCCTACTGGGCCAGGCACTCCTTGCAACCCTAGAGCCTTGTCCAATGACTGGGACATACAAGGCTTGGGAAGTATTTGTTGAATGAAAAAAACCTGCCTCTTTCCCTGGTCATAAGCCAGCATTGGCTCAAAGCCTTTTCTCTCATGTTCTTTTTTAGTAGGCAAATTGAGGCACAGACCTTCCTTAAAATATGTACATTGGTAAATAACATGGGCAGTGAAAAACAGTTCTAGGAAGGAAACTTGGGTTTCTGATTTTACTACTAGTGATTTATTGCACAGGTTTTTTTCTGCATCAAAAAAGTATCTGCTAAAAAGAGAAACATATGTTTGAATTCAGATTTCCCTGAGACTGCTAAAATTATTTCCCCTAAAAAAGAATTCATTCATCTAATATTAAAGAAAATATACTTCGTACACAAGACAATCCAAACTGATGCAAAATATTTATTCCAAGTTAGTTATTTTATGCAGTAGTTTCCCCCTCAAGACTTCTGATAGCCACATCTTTTAAATCTGTAAATAATGTTATCAAAATAATCTTAATCTTTGAAATCTCACAAAAATTTATATTTTACAATCCACCCTGAATATCAAGGCTGCAATAACACAACATTTCCTATATCCAAATATTTTACAATTGTACCCAAAAAGGAAAAAAAGAAATAAGAAACCCACATATGCTTGGTTAAGGGCTAACGTTACCCCAGCAGCCAAAAATAAAATAAAATATCCAAATTATTAGCATTAATTTAATACAATTATAACTTCAATAGTCACTTTGTCATTGACAATGATTGCTTGAGCACAGGGGTGAGTGCCCTGAGGGCTGGTGGAAGCTGCAGCTGCAGACCAGTGTCTCCTCCTCTCTGCATTCCCAGCTCCCACCTGTGCATCGCCCCATATATACTGTTTGAGTGTATTTTAAAAATCTTTCCCACCACACAAATTTCTGTGTGAAGCAGGTAACAGGGAAGAACAACAAAAACTAACAAGCCAATCGCTCTCTCTTTGGGATATGATTATTTCCCTTGTGCACGAAATATTCAACAACATAAGAAAAGGAAAACAACGATTTCTTTTGTACACTTTCTAAGCACACAAGCTGAGTTTATAGGTCAGATTTAGCGGTGACCATTTATAGGCCTACTTCCAGGCATCGTCATCTGATGTTTCACTGCTACTGGTTTCTGTGTCTGAGTCCTCAAACTCTGCTTTGCAAGTGCTCCTCCAAGGGGAGAACAGGTTGGAACTGCGACTCTGCAAGAAGCCATTCTTTCCAAAGCCATTTCTTCTCAGCTGTGGTAAGAATGGGAAAGAAAGAAAAAAACCAAAACAAAACATCAATAACTACATTAGCTCAAGAGAACTAGGACAGGCCAGGCCTCAATTCAATTCTAGGCAGAATGTAGAGGGAGGCCCTTCTAAGAGATGGAAGATTTCTTATAGTAGTGCTTATCAAACCTTAATATGCAAATGAATAATCTAAGGACCTGTTTAAAATGCAGATTCAGAATCTGGAGTAGGGTCTGAGATTCCCTATTTCTACAAGTTCTCAAGTGATGCAAAAAGAAAAAAAAAAGCAGCACATCAGAAAAATGATGTTTTCCAGAAACTTCAATGGCAGGAGGCTAGTTCCAGGCCAGAGTGGGCAATGTAAATGGCTGGACAATCCTGGTTTAGTCCAGAGGTCCTTCTTTTGCTTGGCCTTGTGAGGTTTGGACCCATTCTGTCACTTTGGCCCTGGCCTCAAAGAATACTCTCTTTTTTCTAAGCAAAGTCTTTATGTCAGCCTGTATTTTCCCTTTATAGGCCTTAACACAATTGTTATTTATGCTTAAAATATATACCACCAGAACATAAGATCCACGAGGTTTGTAGAGACCCCACTGGTCTTGCTCACTACTGCAAACCCTACGGTCTGGCAGTATTTTACTTAGAGAAAGAATCCAAGCATTTGTTGAATAAATTCAAATTTGGCTTTGTGGTTCTGGTCAGAATACCAGAGGAAACCCACAGGGCTAGAAGGAAAGGAGGGTGAGCCCTTTGGAACACAGCCTATGGTTCTGATAAGGGCTTAAAGCTTCCAGGATGAAAGAACGTACTACCTTTTGAAATCTGCTACTGATCTGGTTTTGGTACCCAACATTGGAGATCCTACGCAGAATGAGATGCTCTTTTATATTTCTACTACGGCAACTTTATACTTCCTCTTTCAAGGTCCTTCTCTCACATTAAATTGGGCTCCCTAAAGGCAACAACTGTCCTCATTTTCCTAGTCATTGACTGGTCTCCAGGAAAGATTTCCGACATACCTGCTCTGTCTTCATGTGGAACTCTTTGAGCTCATCCTCTGTGAGGGGGAGGCAATTCTCATCATTTTCAGGATACTCCTGCCATCCCATTGCTTTTAATAACCTGGAGGTGGCAAGTCAGGCAAAGAAAACATGACACCTTTAAGCATAAACAGGAAGCCCACAACTTTCCACAGAAAACTTTTCTGCCCACTTGGATGTTAAGATAAGAAACTTAGGCTCTTCTCTCCCCGGTGGGATAAGCTTTAATTACGTGCTTATAATTAAATGGGGGATCTCCACAGTTGCTCTTTTCAGAGCATAAGAGCTACAGAGACAGTAAGTAGAAGCAGCAGAAAATAAGACAGCATCAAGAGCCAAACTGCAAGGGCCCTCTCTGTCCTGTAGACAAAACAGAGGAAGAAATCTCACTTTTGTCTCATGAGCAAATTAGCAAATTTCCACATGTACTGAAGTTTTTTTTCAATTTCATGGCATATGGTCTCCTTCATAACTCTTACTGACCCTTAAAGTTCCGCTGGATAGGAGCCTCCTTTTAGGAAGGTACCATCATACTTGGCAGGCCTCATGTGCCATCCAGTTGCCCAGACAGCTGGCTGCTCTGTGTTCAAGGCCCTCATTTAAAGAAACAGTTTCAGACACAGGGCGGGGGGTGTCTCATGCCTCCCAAAGACCCTTAACGGGGTCTTATTGTAACTGCTCAGTTGGGCCAGGAGGGTCCAAGGAGACAGCACAACAGTTGCAGGAAACAGGTTCCCCTCTCCAACTGGAGCCATAAACTTAAGTCTGAAACTAAACTACACAAAAGCCTTAAAGAGGAGTGTGAAAAAGTTGGCTGATTCTATAAAGGAATGACCACTGAGAAACAGGCCAATGGGGCGCATACAGAGTAAGTTATGGTGCTCTTGGGCACTTCCATCTGTATGCTGGACTCAATCTGAGATGTTTTCTTAAGTACTGTCAAGCTCCTTGCAGGCCACACAGCACATGCGATTCTCACTTACCTGTGCTCTGCTTCCAGAGAGTGCGAGAGAGCCTCCCCTTCCTCCTCTATCGGGAGAGGAAGACCATTCTGATGACAGCCTTCCTCTCCATTTTCCTTTGGTTCAGGTGTGCTGTTGTCCTCCAACTGCAACAAGGAAAAGAAGGACACACTTGGTGTAACAATCTTTTGCGGCAAGGTAAGCAATCTATAAGGTAAAGGAGCCAGAACCCAGGGAAGTGCTTTCCAGACAACAACCGCAACCTACAGGTTTTTGCCATTTAAAAAAGA